GGCGGGGCTGTCAGGTCGCTCGCGCTGCTGTCTGGTCCCTGGCGGTGCTGTCCGGTCCCCGGCGGTGCTGTCCGGTCACCACTTACTGCTCACCATTTGGCCTTCTAGCCTCTGCCGTTGAGGTCCATTCCTTCTTGGGAGGAAGTGGTGGCGGCGAGGGACGGGAGGGTCGTTGGTTCAGCTGTCTCAGATGGACTCCTCAGGCCTTTCCTGAATGCCGTTGGGTTTCAGATGGTGACATTTTGATGAGTTTTAAAGGCTTCGTCTGGCTGTGGCTAGGCGGGAGGTTTGGTTCCAGACCCAGGGCTGGGGACCTTCTTTTCCAGACAGACTCTGGCTGTGAGGTGTGAGGGGGGTACTAGCCACGGGGAGGAGAACTGTGGGGCGTGGTAGAGCGCTATCGGAGAAGAGCCTGTGGCTCCGGTGACTGGGGCGCTTGGTCCAGATGACATTCTTTGCAGAGCTGGAGTGTGGCTCGTGTCCACACCTCGGTTATTCATTTTGTTCCTGAGTCTGTGTGTCTTGGTGGCCGTCTGTCCTGTGTGCCAGGACCCCGAGGCCGTTCAGTGCTGGCCCACCCGGCTGCACTGCGATGTGTCCTTTTCCATCTGAGCTGTGCGTGCCCTGCAGTCAGAAAGGAGCTCAGGGCTACTGGGGAGGGGCAGAGGAGTGTGCCGCCCCCTGGGGACCCTAGATTCCATTCTCTTCTGAAATGACAGGGTATGGAGGGATTTGGGAGCGGGGTGGAGACGGCGGGGTTGGAGGAGGCTGAGCTTTGTTCCCGGGCCGTCTCCAACGTTCTCCAGCTCCCTCTGGGTGAGAGCGAACCCTAGTTTGGTCAGCGAAATGGCAACGTCCTTGGAAAATTAAACCCCATTGTGACTGTTTGTCTTCTCACTTCAGGGTGCTGGGATCTTCAATGGCAGGAGAAGGCGTGATCAGAAGACCGAGATGAATTATAACACTATTCTAGAAGAGATTCTTATTAAAAGGTCACAGCAGAAAAAGAAGACGTCACCCTTGAACTACAAAGAGAGACTTTTTGTCCTTACGAAGTCCATGCTGACCTACTACGAGGGTCGCGCAGAGGTAGGAGACAATCGCGACGTATTTCGCTACGTTCTGTGTTGAGATTATTTTATAATCCCACCCCTTTCTCCAATCTTAAGGAATGAGCCTTGGGTCAGTGGTTAAGGTAATGATTTACTACCATTTGGGCTAGGGAGCAGATGTTTAGGATGGAAGTTGTTGCCAGTCTGTGAATTACAGGTTTGGTTTTTACGGTTTCCGTGTTAGAGCAACTGGCCGTATTAATCTGTTAGAGAAAACAAACTTGTACGTGAGTGTCAGCGCCTGTGGAGTTAGGTAGGTGTGTTGTGTACACGGCTCTCTCCCACGTGTGGCATAGACAAGTTTTCTCCACGAATACACTCTGGGCTCGTGTCCGTCGGTTTATGTGAACGCCTTTGCGTTATGAAGTGCGGTTCGTTAAAACTGAGAGTGACTTGGTGGCCCCAGCATGGACTGGAGTTGACCCAAAGCAGACTGTCCTGGCTCGTTTGGGGTCACACAGTCGCTGCAGAGTTCTTCATGGCCCAGGGAGAAGTGGCCCTGGGCACATGGTCATGGGCAGGCCGGGCAGGTGGTGTGGAGTTGGTGCCGCCTGGCTTCTCAGTTGCTTCATTTCTGCCTCTGCCACTAGATGAGGTGAACGAATGTCCCCTCTGGTCACTTTTTGCCCCTGGCAAGTTGGGTTTGGCACTTCCTGGTAGCATCCCAGCCCCTCTGCTGGAAACGCCCCTGAGTTCCAGGGGGTGGCTGGGGACTGGGTGCCTGCGTTTGAGCACACGCTATTGAGATCAGCAGTTGGTGGGGGCCAGCAGGCAGCATTGGTGGTTAGGGTGCTGGACTCCCACGGAGCTGACTGTGATTCAAGTCCCAGACCTGGTGGCCTGAAAATCTCGCTGATATGTGTGTGTGTGCTCAAGATCCTGAGAGGAGAATGGAGGAGAAGGGATGGTGGTGTGGCCACCCCCCCGGGAGTGATTTCTCACTTCCCCTCTCTCTGTACCTGTCTGTCTCTCTACTCTCTGGTGAGTGCACACCCACTATGACAAGAAATTTACACACAAACACACATGAACAGCTGGTGAATGTGGATCCTTGAGGATCTAATTTTTAATTTTAATTCTGTGTTTGTCCTAGAGCGTCTCTCAGAAGTGGACTTGATTTTGTTCGTGTTCTCCTCCCATGGGTTTCTGTGTGGTAGGTTCCCCAATTCAGACAGCAGGGCAGTGCTGCTCATGGTGGTCCTCAACACGGGTCGCTGCTGCCGTCCGTCACGGTGGCCTGAGGGCTTCCCAGGTTCCTGTGCTCCAGCTCCGGGGCCCTTCATCCCCCTAACCCGAACGCAAAAACCCAAACATCGACGGGTCTTCGACTTGTGACATCTGACGTGACACGCAGCTGTCGTCCTGTGCAGTGTGCATGTGTGTGTGTGTGTGAGAAACTATTAATGCATTTAATTACATAGCGTTTCCCTAGTCCCTGCTGAAAGTGTTATGTCATGTACGGTCATTTGCTATTCGTCATTTGTTAAATCAGAAAAATTAAAAAATATAAAAGTGTTTCAGATAAGGATTAGAAATTTGAATTGTTTTAAAATCTAAAACAGATTTTAAGGGAAACAAAAAAAATTGCAGTATGGAAAGTGGTAAAATGTGGGACTTTACTGACCAAAAAAAAGCCTTAGAAATCTTAGAAACAGGGACTGGGGCCAGCAGGTGGCATGGTGGTTAAGGCTCTGGGCTCCCACATAGCTGACTGTGGTTCGAGTCCTGGACCTAGTGGCTTGAAAAACACACTTGTTACGTGTGCACAAAATCCCAGGAGGAGGATGAAGGAGAAGGGATTGCCGTATAGCTATCCCCATGGGGGCTGATTTCTCACTTTCCCTCTGTTTCTGGCAAAAACCTTAAAGAAAAGAAAAAGAAAACAGGGAAGAAACAGGGACTGATACTGACATAGTCTTTTTTTTTCTTTAAAGAATTATATATTTATTTAATTCCATTTGTTAAGTTATTATTATTTTTTTTAATTACCAGAGAGAGAAAGCAAGCAAGCCAGGAGAAAGCATATGGGAAGAGGCCCTCCCTCAGGGCCTGGCTTCAAAGCCACCTCTGTGTCCTCTGCTTCCCACCTGGGACCCTACTCCCCAGCTCGGCGTTGCGTTGCTGCCCCTGGTGGAAGTGGTATCGGCGTATTCTAAACTCTCTTGGAAGGTGATGAATGTAGGGTGAGAAGTCCGGGGTCTCTGCCCCAGTAGCAGGATGGGGAGGACGGTGGGCCTGCCTCTTAGCGAGGCCTTGCAGCCGCCCGAGCTCCTGTGAGTGCCAGAGGACAGGTGGGTTGTCTCCGCGCCAAAGTCCCCGCGTCCAAATGCCCGCCATCCCGTGCAGCGGCAAGTGAGCGTGCGCAGAGTGGGCGGTGCGTGCGGGACGCCGCCTCCCGCGGGCCATGCTGATCTCTGCCACCCTGGAGATCCCCAAGAGGTGGAAAAGGAGGAGCAAGCCGCTGCTGGAGAGGCTGACACGGAGGAGGAACGGACACTCCCCTCCTGAGGTTACCGCTGAGGCCCGAGGTCCGGGAACATAACTGTGTTCTGTGCCCGCCCGCAGGCCCCACTGCACTGGGGCGCTCTGTCCTCCCCTGCCAGCAGTCTGCAGCCCCGGGGCCCAGGCTGGGAGCTGTGGGGGGCCCCACGGAGTCATCTCCAGCCCTTCACCCACAGGCTTAACCATGGGGATAAGTGATGGAAGGTGAGCATCCGTTAAAATAAATAGTAAGATAAAATAAGAAATAAATAATAAGATAAAATAATAACAAATAAATGAATAATAAGATAAAAATCTTAGGGCCAGCAGGTGGTGTCGTGGTTAAGGCACTGGACTCCCACATGGCCAACCCCGTGCCTGGCAGCTTGAAAATCAGGCTGGACCGCCCGTGAGCATGCCTGGAATCCGGAAGGGGTAATGGGGATTGCAGGTGGCCATCCCTCAGGGGGTGGTTCTCACTTTCCCTCTGCCTCTCTCTGGCGAGTGCACTTGCCCTATGGCAAAACCTGGAAAAAAAAAGAAAAAGAAAAAAGTCAATAAAAGAAGCTCAAAGGAAAAAAAAAGACGCGTGGCGTTCCTCCAACGTGGGGCTGTGCGGATGGTGAAATGCCTGCCGGGAGCCTGTTAGAGACGGCGGCCAGGGCCCTGCTGGGGCTGGTCACCTGGCGCCTTCTTTTTTTTGGAGAGGTTTTTGCTACAGGACACGTGCGCTCTCTAGACAGAGAGAGACAGAGAGAGAAAGTGAGAAATCACCCCCTAGGGGGGATGGCCATGCTGCAATCCCTTCTCCTCCATTCTCCTCTTGGGATCTTGGGCATGCACGCACACGTGCCCGGCGTGAGTTTTAAACCACCGGGTCCAGGACACAAACTGCGGTCGATTACATGGGAGTCCAGCGACATAGCCATTACGCCAACTGCTGGTCCCACCGGGGCGCCTTCTGCCTTGCATGCATCAAGCTGCCAGACTGCAGGAGGAATGGTGTTCTGCATCTGCCGTGTCATTGGTGCAGGCAGACTCCTGACACACCCTGTCCGTGGGGACGGCGGGGTCCTCTGCAAGTCCAAGTTCCCACGTGAGGGCTGTGGGCCAGCCAGCCTCGCGGGCAGCACCTCCTCAGGGGCGCTTCTCAGGCTTGCTGTTCGAGCTCCCCCATTCAGTTGGTAGTAAAGCGAGACGACTTCCTGGCCACCTGCCATGACTACCCACGTGCCGGCCTCTGTGCTCAGTGCTTCCCCACACATTGTTACTCAGACATTTCTGTAGGGAGTCTCGTGAGACTTAATGTCAAATTCACGAACGGAGGCTTGGAAGGTCGAAAACTTGCACAACATGTGCAAGAAATCGTAGGGCTGCTTCTTCAAAACCTATCTCGGGAACAACCTTGAAACGCCAGGGAAAATAAGAAAAAAATGGTTAAAACTGTATAATACAGATAAAACTTTATTTTGAAACTTTTGTCTTTAATATTTTTCCTATGACCTTTTATTTTTGAAATTTTTTTATGATAGAAGAAAGTTAACCCTGGACAGTGTTTTTGTCTTGGATCTGCTGCTATTTAATTCGACTTTGTAAAAGCATTTTCCTCTATCTGTATATGTACTTTCAAAATTACTTTCATATAAATTTTCTGTTTACACTATTTTATTTTTGGTGCCAGAGAGTGTGAGCACTTGTCTGGCGAGTGGGCGATGGTCACGCTGCAGCTCCTTTCCTTCCATCCCCTTCGCCTTTTGGGATTTGGGTAGTCATGGACACCTGCCCAGGGTGTGTCTTAGGCTGTGGGTCTGGGACTTGAACCACACCGTTGGCCATGTGGGTTCCAGCCCCCTTATCCACCAAGCCCCATCTGTTTACACTGAAACTCCTTTCTCCTTCTTCTTCTTCTTCTCCTTCTTCTCCTTCTTCTTCTTAAATTCTTATTATCCTACATCAAATAGCCACTTTTTAAAAAAGAATTATTTATTTTATTTTATTTATTCATTCATTTATTTTAATTTTACCAGAGAGAGAGAGAGAGAGAGAGAAAGTGAGAAAGGAAGCCACCAGGTCCGGGACTTGGACCGTGGTCTGCTATGTGGGAGTGTCCAGTGCCTTAACCACCTCGCCACCTGCTGGTCCCAATGTAACTCCTTTCTCATCGCCATTCGAACCCCAACACAGATGTGCTCTATTATAAAGTTCTGTTTTACGAGTCAGGGTTCTCCCGAGAAACTAAACAATGGGATAGAGATACACATTATATTTATGACACATGCATATACATATGATATGTATGTGTGTATATCGGGTCATCGGAAAAGTCATGATGCAGTTTCGCTAGATAGCACATATGCTTGCCAGAGGGACACAGAGAGAGAGGCAGAGGACAAGGCACTCCCGATGGGGCATGGTTACACTGCAGTCCCTTCTCCATCTCTCACCTCCTTTCAGGGTTTTGGGCATGCGCACACACGCACCCAGTGTGTTCCTCAA